GGATAGGGTATGCAAAGCGTCTAAGTTGATAGCTTCCTCTCCCATGGAACGGTCTATGTCTGGAATGCTTTGTGTCCATTGGCATGAGTCTACAATGCTTCTCATGAATTTTGAAAGGATAAGAAAGAAGATAAGAAATAATAGAATTATTTTCGTTGACCTCTATACAGCAGAGAAAAGTGGTCGAGAGGGTGCATTCCCATGGTCCCGATTTACCACTTTTGCATAGCTAAGCCGCAAAGACCTATCCCGGTCTTGATTGCCTGTTTCATCATGATAAAATTGTTGACAACTTTCGTATTTCATTCTTGCTCTCCCACTGCTACAATGTGGGTCTTTTGGGTGCACGCTCTTCTTTTCTTCACTTACTTTCTGCCTTTTCCGTCTAGTCGCGGAGCATGCCTTCACATTATGTTATTACCATTATTTATTGAAGAACTCACTCACCCATTGTCTGTTGCTGAATACGAGAACAACTTCGACGGCCATTGGATTGAACCGAAAAATTACCCAAAAATGTCACAGTGTCAGCAATTACAACGAAGTGCCCTATACATACGAGCTTTCTCGAAGTCTTGGCGAAATTTATTGAAAATCTCAAGTCATCCACTGTGCCTAAACGATTTTTTTTGTTACAGATTCTGGGATCCTGGGACTATTAGCCGCTTCAGCAGAAATGAAGTGCAAGTCTCTTTTGAAGCTGGGGACTGAACTCTGAAAATCGGCTTCGTGCCAAGTGCCACACAATCGCTCGGATTTCGATGAAATAATCAAGGCAGAGAAACCCTACGTGGTCGCACTTGGTCGCTGCAGAGCCAGAGGGGGAAGGTATAGTATTCAACTCCAAGAAAATGGTTTTCGATTGTTGACTTTCTCTGGATGGCGGGCGGGAATCCAAAAAGCTTTGGAAAAATGGTGGGAAGTTGGGAAAATTTGAGAATATGGTAGACACGATGGGAGATACGGAAGGGAGAAGGGAGTTCGTTTCAGACGAGGAGCTTTTGGCGCCTTGGTAATAATGTCTTCCAGGTAACTGTGCCCATATGGTTGAGAGGGCTACTTGAAGTCTCGCATTAGGGTTGAAGAGGCCAAAAACGTCGCGCCGTGTTTCGCACGATTCGGTACTTGAAACTGTTAGAGTTCGAGCTGAACTTTGTTCCTGGTTGGCTTTACTGTCAAACATTTAAAATTCCAGTCGCCAAAAAAAAGCTCTCTGAGAAATGCAATTGTAGCTCAAAGCTGAAGCTCGTAGCTTTCTCGACGACTACTTTGGAACCACTTCGGTCTGCCTCTTACCACTTTGCATTATGTAGCTTTTTTTCCATCGACAAGGCATAACAGCTGATCTATAAATCGAAATTGAAAACAGTGTCAGTTTTCACTCCATTTTAGGTTTCCATAAACTGACACGAGTTTCAGGGTACTTTAGTTTCATGAATATCTGTGAATACGGCTGAATGAAATTTCGATGCGTTTCCAGGGCATTTATTTTCCGTTGCAACGACCATGAAGACAAATGAAACAAAGGTAGCGCAGTAGGGAAGTAGTCGAAAGTGGGTAACTTTTTACCTAAACTAGTGCAAGATTGAGATGGTCCAATTCTGATCCAGAAGTCAGACGGAAAGTAAAGGTTATATACCGTAACTCCATGCTGGCTCCAGGGTGAAAAGAAACATTACCCCCTCCACCCACAGGGGAGACGATTAAGACAACCGTAATTAGTCGCGTCATCGCTCCTGGCAATGCTGTTTCAGCGCTGGTGAAGAATGTTGTGTTGCGCACTGACGGGATCATGCATCCGAATTAAAGCTTGGTAAGGTTACGGTACGAATTACTAATCTGAACATGTAATAATCTTGGGAAATGGTGTAGCAGTATAAATAGATGCTCCACTACGCTGGCATTTTCCATGACCAAGAAAAATGATTAGAATTTTCTAGAACGCAGGTGTTTCTGCACCTCCGTTTCCGAGGGAAAAGGACCTGGGATGAGAGAGATTCGAACTGTCCTTTTCCCCGTTTAGCTTCAGAACCGTCAGTGCTATCGGAGCCTGAAGCAGACTATTCTATTCGATCTCCACATGGAACCCTGTTTGAATATGTTTCTTCCTAAAAGAACCAGGAGGGAGATTTATGTCATGTAAGATACATAATTATGTGAATAAATAAAAAAAGATAAAGTCCATGCCGTCGACCAGTGAGTGCCTTCGTAGGATGCGGCACGCACTCTACTTCCATTCAGAATCGTAGTGGCCCAGGAGTTGAACCCGGGACTGCGCTAGTGGTAAGCGCGCTGCTTTTCACTGCACCAGCTCCTTCAATTATGCGAATATTTCAACTTATTTCCTCTTGCCGCTTTACAAAGGGACACATGAAGTGGTAGTGCCAATACGTCTTCCGAAATGCGTGCTCCAGGCAAGACCTTTCGCCCAAATCACCAAGCTATTTGATTTTTCAACCATCATTGAGCGCCCCAGGTTGATGCGAAGCAGTATAAAAGCCTGCTTGGGAGGCACGAGTAGTGCGGTGATCCGGACGAATTGTCCTACTTGGAGGAAGAGTCGCACTGATCTGCATGACATGACAATAGCAATGCGACCATGCCATAGTACCGCTCTCGTTCTATGGCAAACAAATGAACCAGGAAAAATATAATAGTGATTCGATTTTCATTGTTTGGAACGAATCTTCCGGAAATCAGTGATATAATTGTCCACGTTCGACTTTCTTGCAATCTTGGCATGATGTATATAGTTCTTGTATTTCTTCTAGCCTTTCCAAGATTGAGCAACTTTATTGAAGGCCTACGTTTCGGCGTCTTCGCCTTCGTCAGAGCCTGAAATGGTCAAAAAACATTTCGAGACCTGCTCGCTCAAACATTTCAACAATACTCAAGACGATTTCCACATACCAGTAAATCACCCAACGGTATCGATCTAGGGCGGAACGCTGGCTTACCTTGATCTTGGACGCGTGACGCAGGGACGACCACCCTGTAGAGGCTCAAGCGTGGAGTAAGAATTACTGGTAACCTCCCTCGACCTCTCGGTAGGTCAAAACTTGCAGAGGTCGAGAAAGGCTGCGAGCTTCACACGTTATG